TATTTTCATGTTATTAACAAAAAAAATCTAGTAATAATAATATTTTTCGCTAATATTATTATCGTTCAATAATTAATTAACCGTAAAAACTTACTATTAGTAATAAATAAATAATTATTCTATAATATATAGGTACAAAATATTTGGCGCAGTAAAATTAAATTTAAAAAGAATTTTTAGTACATTTACCTTGAATGGGAAGATTTTTCAAAAAATGTCTATCCAACTGTAAGCAGTTTAATTGGACTTACCTGCAAAAATAAAAAAAGCATATCAAAAATCTTGAAATGTTAATAGAATTAAAAGGTAATTATAATTTAGTTAATTGATTTCATTTAATTAATCAATGTTAATTAATTAATAATCTTGCTACAAGTAAAATTTATTAATAATAATTCATTAAATTCATTGCCTAATGAATTATTATTATTATTATTATTATTATTATTCGTTGAATTATTTACCTCTTTAACAATAATTATTAATTATTAATAATTAATAATTAATAATTATTAACAAATTTAGAGAATCTAATTACTAATAATGAATTATATTAACTACCTAATCAATAATAATTAATAATGAATTGAATGAATTGCCCAATTTATAATAATTACTAATTAATTGAATTAATTACCCTATTATGATCCTCCACAAGTTTTGAATGTTCAAATGAACGAAACACTTTTTATTAGAAATATTTTTATAAATTACTGTTCGCATTAAAAATTAAAAACTTAAATTTTACACTTTTATAACAATAATTTTTTGTCAATATAAAACAAATTATTGTTATAAATATTTAAATTGAAGAAGAAATAAATAAATTTCGTTCATTTGAACGATCAGAATTTAAGAATCATACCCTATTAATATTAATTAATAATTAATATGAATTTAGCAAGTTTCCAATTATAAATCTGTTTTTGTGAAAGTAAAAAAGTAATGGTGTTACTTTTTTTGATAACGGTAACTAACAATTATAAATAGAGAAAGTAATGCGAAAATTTCAATTACTTTCAATGTCCATGTAAATATCGTCTTGGAGATAGTAATTTTTTTCCAAAAGGAAAAAGAAAATTTGTAATTCAAACAAGTTTTCACTTGACAACTTTCTCATTATTATCATTATCATCATTATTTATTTGTTTAACCTTCGCTAGACCTTTAAATCAAGAAACGTATATATATACTTGATACACACACCTGTGAATATATTTTTCATTTTTTATATAAAAAATTTATAAGAAATTTCCCTTTTTTATACATATATTATATAGTTATATGTTACATATTCTAAGAATAAAATATTTTTTTACCCTGGTCATTGGCTTATTGATTGATTACACTACACGGTTCTCACTTGAAATGACCTGAATAAATGATGAAGAGCCGTCTAGTCATGAACAGAAATGGTATATTCTTTAAATATTTTAATCTTTTTTTAAAGTAGCTATCAATAAAGTTTATATTCACATCTTCTCTTTTTTATCAGAATAATATCATAGGTAGAAAAGTTAATTCTTCATTTCGCAAGAGAAAAAGAATTTTTTTCTTTTTTTTTCCCTTCTTTCAATTATATTTAAAATACTAAATTGCCAAAAATTTCAGTTCCTTCTAATTGGACTTGCGGTGTAACGAACCGAACGGTATGTGCGAAGTAAAGTTCTCTTTGGAATTTTCCGGTAATTTTTTTTTTTTTTTTGTAGGAGTCAAACATTCATTTTCTATCTAATTTTTGAAAATCTATTTTTTCCAAATAAAAGAAACAAAAAAAATTTTCCTAAATCGAATTTTTACTAACTTTTACTTATTTATTTTATTTCCTGTTGTTTTATATTTATAATTTTTATCTCTTTTTTAAATTTCTCTTCCTGATGTTTAAAAAAGTGGCGATTAGTTTTGGACAATCATTTATTATTCATTATTTATTTATTTAATACATGTAATTAATGTGATTAATAAATTTAATTAATAAAACTATTTTTTCATTTTAATAAAACGATATTAATATTTTTTTTTGTATAATAATATAGATAATAATAAACAAACAAAAATATTTTTTTTCAAATTGAATATTGCAAAAATAATACAAAACAAATCAAATCAAAAGTGTTTAAATTTTGATTTTTTTCGTCTTTTCTCCATGTGTATTTAGAGAATCAAAAAAAGAAATGAGATTTGAACACAGGTATCATTTTGAAGAATAAAAAATTTCTATTATAAATCGCATTAAATATTCGTATTCTGAAATCTCTGACACGAAAGAAGGATTATATTTCGAAAGCATGAACCTGTTCTTATTTCGAGCCGTCAGGTTTAATAAGCAATTAACTAGCTGGCATCAGCTATGTCAAAAGTCAACATCTCCCAACGCTTGATATGAAAATTGAAAGACGTCAGTCATGAAATCTCTACTTCAATAAAAAAAAGAGAAAAAAAATCTTTTCAGAAATAAAGTCTATGTTTAAAACAGTTTTTAAAGAAACCCTTTTTTTCCTATAAAATAAAAAAGGGACTAAAAGATTCTCCACACAAAAAATGGAAGTTTTACCAGAAGTTTAAAATATATATATTATCAGTAAAATTTCATCGAGTAAAAAAAATCTCTAATAATTTCTGAAAAAGCGATAATAATAAATTTAGTCATTAAATTAGGAGCACATAATTTTTCACAATATTAATATTTATTTGTATTTTGTTTATTCAATCTCATCTATTTTATTTATTTTTACTTATAAATATTTTTTATATTCAGTTTTTCTAAGGATATCAAATTGAGACAAAAACATGTATCAAAATAGTTGCGAACGAGCAACGTTTTGATACGTTTTTTTGTCTCAATTTGATATCCTTAGAAAAACTGTGTTTATTTTTATTTATTTATATTTATTAGTATTTATTAATATTCATTTATATTTATTATTTATTTACTTATGTTAAATAATTATTAAAAATAAGTATATTACTAATTGTAATATATAATAATAATTATTGTTATTATTAATATAATAATATTGACAATTATCTAATTTCCGTATCGAATTGACAATTCCATTACACAAGGACCTTGATTATTGAGACAAACTTAATTATGATAATAATGGATAATTGTAAATAATTATTAAAATAAAATTGTAATTAATTATTAAAGGAAAAATTGTACCTAAATAAAAAATTATTTATAAAAACGTATAAATAATAAAAATATGCGTAAATATTAAGAACATGTAAGTAATAATTGGTAATAATAATAATAATAATAATAATAATAATAATAATAAAAAGAAGTGTAAACAAAAATTAACGAAACAAAAAAATACATGCAAATAATAATTATTAATAATAAAAAAGTGTAAACAAGAATTAATGAAACAAAAAAGCGATGTAAATAATAATTAGTAATAATAAAAAAAGTGTAAACAACAGTTAATAAAACAAAAAAAAAACCCACGTAAATAATTGCCTATATTAAAATAAAAAATCGAGTAAATAATATAATTTATCAAAACAAAACAAAAAGAAGTGAATCAATCAAATCCATAATTCAAATAATAGAAAAAAATAATATGCACTTCATCAGCAAAATAGTGGTATTGGAATTGACACCCCTTTCTTTTCCATAAAATAAAATTTCCCACCATTAGATATCAATATCCATAATAAACCCTCTCCTCTCCTCTCTCTCACTCTCTCTCTCTCATCCCATTAATCAATAGCGTAGACACACCCATATCACCATATACATATTCCCGTTGGTAAAAGTTGGGTTATTATTTTTATGCATTTTGCTCAGAGAAAATAGAACTCTTCGAAAAATCAATAGACACTAGGTCAAACGGCGACTTGGATCTCCTGGGAGATTTTTTCTTTTAGTTTTATTTCTTGTTTTTTTTTTCTTTATAACAAGAAAGGAGCTCGATTTCTCTTTAAAAAAATTCGAAAATGTTGCAATTATATGTTGACGGAAACACATTTTGTTCTCTGGACTCAAAGGAAAAAGGAGCTCAAAAAAAAAACATAGCTAACAGAAGGAGCCAAGTGTAGGAGCTAAAAAAGGGGCTAAAAAGAAGCTAAACTAAAGCTAAAAAAGAAGCTAAAATCAAGCTAAAAAAGGAACTAAAATCAAGCTAAAAAAGGAGACAAAGTTTAACTGAAAAAAGAAGCTGAAATCAAGCTAAAAAAGGAGCTTAAAATAGAGCCAAAATAGAACTCAAAAAACGGGCTAAAAAATAGTTAAAATGAAGGTAAAAATGAGCTTAAGAAGGATACACAAGAAAACCAAAAAAGGGAGCTAAAAAAGAGCTTGAAAAGGAGCTAGAAAAAGGAGAAAAAAAGGACTAGAAAAAGGAGTTAAAATAGAACTAAAAACAGGATGTAAAATAGAGCCAAAATAGAACTAAAAAAAGAAGATAAAAAAGCTAAAATTGAACTAAAAAGGAGCCAAAGTAGAACTAAAAACAGAAGCTGAAAAAGGAGCTCAAAAAGGAGCCAAAATAGAACTAAAAAAAGGAGCTAAAAAAGCTGAAATGGAGGTAAAAAAGGTGCTTTAAGAGGAGCCAAAAAAGAGTTTAAAAAAGGTTCTAAAAAAAGCTAAAATACAGCTTAAAAAGGAGCTTAAAAAGGAGCTTAAAAAAGTGCCAAAATACAACTAGAAAAAGGAGTTAAAAAAGGATCTACAATGTAGATAAAAAAAGACTAAACAGGAGCTAAAAAAAAGAGGCTTAAAAAGGAGCCAAAATACAACTAAAAATCAAGCTAAAAAATAAGCTACAATTGAGCTAAACAGGAGCTAAAATGTAAAAAAAGAACATTAAAAACATAAAAAAGAACATTAGAAAAAGAAGCTAAAAAATCGATTCCACATGAAAAAAAAAATGTTTCCCATGACCTCTTAATAAGAAACAAAAACGCATTTATGAATCTCTAAAAACTTATATATAGTAGATCGAAGATGAATCATATCAGTTGACATAAAATGTAATCCAGTGAGACATGGGTGGGTTTTTAGCCGGCGGCGGGCAAGGGAAAATATAAGAAATTCCCATCTTTTGCGCTTGCGCTTATCGAAAAGCTCACCTCTCGTCCAGGCGGTCGTGCGTTTCGCTGTTCTGTTCAGTGAACCGGTGAAAGCGCCGCGACGCCAAGCGCCGCTGTCGGAATCGCGAAAGTCCTTTTTTTTCAACAAAAAAAAAAAAAAAACAAACAAAAATACCCCCCCGACCCCCAAAAAAATTACATAATGAAACAAATAAAAAATCACCAATACTCCCTCCCATTACTGCGCAAAGAAAGACACTAAACTAATTATATAAATTTCTAAAAAAAGTACAAAAAAAATGAAGAAGGAACAAAAAAGTATATGAAAAAATTTTCGCGATTTTTCACAAATTATAATTCGCAGGGAAAGTTTGTATTTTCACATCTGGATGGCGATATAAGCGTTTAGTATTTATTAACGACTGATGTCGCTGCTAGACAGCAGTGCTTGGAGGTTAAGTTACAATAAACACGAACTTGGTGACTGTGCACTCGAACAGAACAGATGAAAGGGTACCGAGAGCACACGTGATCAACCACGTGTGTATAATTTCCCCAAAGTCACTATCAATAATAATTATCGCGACTTATCCTTCGAAAAAAAACCCTTTCTTCAAATTTTACCCCTCCCTTTTTTCCCCCAAAAAAACGTAATTTTACCCATCCGACAATCTTTTCTTCGACAGTACCTATACAATTATTGTTTGACAACAAAATAACAGGGATTTTTTTCTCAATCTTCATTTTTTGGGTTTTAAATTAAAATTGAGAGAAAAATTATTGTGCAAAAGAAGAGATGGGGAAGTTATTTTAAGTGAGGACATCAGGAGGAATGGAGAAAAAAAATCGCATGTTCGACATGCATTTAGTTTCAGGAACCTTGGGCTTTAGAGGAACTTAGAGAGTGAGAGGGACACGGAACCGCAAGATTTCCATAAACGGTCTTTCAACATGAACACAATACATTATCAATTCAACACATCTACATAATATAGGGATTGCATAACGAGGGGTGGGTGATTGTGAAATGATAAAATGTTGAAGAAGACTACTTAGGCATGCATGTGCATAGAGAGCAAGAGAACACGTACATTATATGTATATGTATACTGCATATTAGGGAATAAAAGCAGGAATAAAAGTAAAACGAACTTGAACACACGCTTGTTCTTCACTTCAATTTGCAGTTAATATACGCAACGAGAGAAATTCCGGTAAGCTTTATATTGAATTTACTTCTATATGGTAATATTTAATTTTTTTCTAATATATGGTATTCTTTTGACTTTGTTTCCTTTTAGGAATGTATAATGTATACTTTCTTTCCCTAGGGACAATATTTAATTGTAAACGTAATTGTACACTTTTCCTCCCAAGGGACAATATTTAATTGTGTAATTCAATTACTATCGTGTAATTCAATTACTATCGTAATTCTAAATAACTAAATATAATTGCAAACATAAATATAATCACTGTTATAAATATAATTCTAAACATAATTGTAAAGACAGTTGTAAATTTAATTGTAATTGTAAAAAAACTTTAATCATAATTATAAATATGAAATATAATTGTAATTGTTTAATTGTAACTGTACAACTAAATTAATTAATTAAATTATACTTGTACAATTAAATTTTAACTTTAAATGGAATAGGAAATTGTAAATGCAATTGTGATTGTATATGTAATTGCAAATGTAATTTTCGTGAATGTAATTGTAAATGTCGTTGTAGATGTTATTGTAAATGACTTCATGCTTGCAATCGTAAATGTAAATGCAATTGTAAATAGAACTGTAAATGGAACTGTAAATGAAATTCTAAATGTAAGATGTAACTGAAAATGTAACTCTAAACACAGTTTTCCTAAGGATATCATATTGAGACAAAAAATGTATCATAATGTTACGAAGCAACGTTTTGCTACATTTTTTGTCTCAATTTGATATCCTTACGAAAACTGTGAATGTAATTATAAATATAACTGTAAATGTAACTGTAAATGTAACTACAAATGCAATTACAAATATACAACCGTAAATTGTAAATAATTAATTGTATCTTTAACTCTAAATATTCAATGCTATTTTTAACTAATACTTTTCATCTAATGTTTAAAATATATTTGAATATTTTTGTAAATATTGTTGTGGAGATTCTACAGAAACTGTTGATAAATAACATTTTTTTTAAATAAATGACAATTATCAAAGAAATCGTGAATATTATGGAAATAAACCGAAGATTCTTTGAAGATGCATATGGTAAATTGTTTTTTTTTATGAAGAGTAACAAGAAATACAGGAAAATTATATTTGCAGATTGTTGGTGAATTGGTACTTGGAGAGGAAACTGCATTCTTTTAGGAGTATAACAATAATGCTGTATTGTTTAATGAACAGAATTCCTTGTGATGAGAAATTGGTTATCATGAAGAACATGATGATAATAAAAAGAACATGATGGCATTATGAAGAATATGATGTTAATTAAAAAAAACAAGATGCTATTATGATGATAGTAAAAAAATGATGATATTATGATGATAGTAAAAAAAATGATGATATTATGAAGAAAATGATGATATTCTTAAGGATATGATGATCATGATTTTATTATGAAGAACATGATGATATTAGTAAAGATATAGTGATGATATTATGAAAAACATGATGACATTATTAAGGACATGATGAAATTATTAAAGATTTGATGACATTAAAGATTTGATGACATTATTAAAAGAATATTATGATTCTTTGATGGACATGGTGATAATATGATGGATGAATGAAAAAACTTCTCTTCTACATGAGTCCAGACGTGAGTAACAACAGATTTTGTAATAATATCGTTTTGAAAAATTATACTTTTTGTAAATCTATAAATTTAAATGTAAACATCTGTAAGAATAACGTACTGTGCAAGTATGAGAATATTTTTAAAAAGTACATTTTCTGCAAGTTACAATAATATTGACAAGTACAACAACATTTTCTGCAAGTATAATAATATTTACAAGTAGAACAACATTTTCGACAAGTACTACAATATTTTCTACAAGTTCAACAACATTTTCGACAAATACAACAATATTTTCTACAACTACAACAACATTTTCGATAAATACAACAATATTTTCTACAACTACAACAACATTTTCGATAAATACAACAATATTTTACTGGAGAAACAATATTTTTGTTAAATACAATAATATTTTCTACAAGTACAACAACTTTTTTGGACGAGAACAATAATATTTTAGGCAAAAACAACATTTTTCATAAGTAGAGCAACATTTTCTACAAGCACAACAATATTTTCAACAATAGTATAACCATATTTTTTAGAAGCATAACATCTTGAATAAGAACAACATTTTTAATAAGAACAACATTTTTAATAAGAACAACATTTTTAATAAGAATAACATCTTAATAAGAACAACATTTTGAATAAAAGCATCTTTGGTAAAAAGAACTATTAGAAGAATAAAAAAAAACTAGTATGAGAATAAAACCAATTTTGACAAAAAGAACAACAACATTTGCGGTAAGAACAAAAAATAACAATTTTCCAGCACGAAAAGCAACATTTAATGCTTACCTCATTTAAACAATAGCAATTCCAGTAGAAATACATTAAAAAAGAACATGACTTTCCTTCATAAAAGAAATGCAACAGGTAATATGCTTCCTTTATTTGAAGAAAAGCAATACACACAAAGTGTTTGTTTTACTAAAAAAAGCAATATTAGAAATTGGTTGCAATTTGTCTGTCACTAACTGATTTCGGTTATGAAAGTAAATCGAACAAGTCTGAATATTGAAATAACAGAATTTAATCTAACTAATAGTGAATAATTGCATGAAAAGAAAATACTACCTACGTGTTTAAAAATTTCAAAATGGCTACGAGGATGCGCTGTGACGTTCAGCTGTTGCTCTGACGCCATACAACAATGCCAATGGCGTCAGTTTTACGTTATTTACCAGTGGATTTAGAATGGAAGTTATTCAGTAATTTTTAGTTATTAAGTTTATTATTTTATTATTTTTTTTTATCTCTTTACTTTTTTATACTTTTATTATTACTATTAAGGCCGGTTTCACCAACTCCGATTAAAAGTTAATCAATGATTAAATCCTTAACCGACAATTAGATTGATGCGAAATCCAAATTAGCTAAATTAATTGTATTCTTGGTAAAAATTGACATAGTTTAATATTGATCTTCACACTTTCTATACCAAAAAAGGGGAGATAACATTGATCCGATCTTGGGAGCATGGCTACTCCAAGATTGGTTCAAACCTTAAGCCATTCTTTTTTTTCACCCTTGATTTGTAAATAAACCGCACTGTGAAATGGGAAACCACCTCTCCCACGTTTTTAAGCCGCCATGTATGGTAGAATAATATTACGCGGTCAAAGACCGCGGCGCAATTGCCTCCAGTTATCCTTTCTTTTTCTCTTATCCGAAATTTTTAAACTATACTCATAGGGGAAATTCGGACCCTCCTTTCTTGCATTGATTTTCCTTTTATAGTTATTTACTAAAATAAAACTAAAATAAAACTATAATAAAACTAAAATAAAACTGTAATAAAATAACAGTACATCAACCTAACATCAACTATACAATTATTTTTTCCAAGGTTTTAAGCTAAAAATGTACTTTGGAAAAATTTTTAACTCCCTAGGGAAATAAAAGAGGTAAAAGAAGTGCCATTTTTAATTTTAAAAAGTTCAAATAATATAGTTTTCGACGCTAACTTCAGGAATATATTATTAAAAAAATAATGAAAAGTAAAGAAGTAAAAAAGTAAAAAGTAGTAATTAGTACTCAAAAGTGGTAATTAGCGATAAAAACTAGTAGTGATAGTAGTACTAGTACTAGTGGTAGTAGAAGTAAAAAGTACTGACATGTCAGTAGAAGTATTAGTTAAAAGTAATAGTAATTTTACAACCGGAAAAATCAAAATTAATCTTCATAAAGAGGAAGTACATTTTTATTTTTTTTAATAATTCTTCCTTTTTTGTTACTATACACTATATCGAGCAGAAGTCTCTCATTAATTATGATCTTTGATCTACATACATACTTTGTGATAGAAGATATGCACACGTTGTATATAATTCGAGTGCATTTTAATGAGAATAATAAACATATAACTTTCTCGAGTGTGATAATTTGTAACGGCTCTTTTGTTGGTGTAAATTTTCGAAAATTACACCTCAGATTATAATTTAATGTATGATGTATAACTTGATATAAAATTAAAATGTACATATAACAATATGTGAAGGGCCAATAAAAGAGAAGATTCAACGAAAGAATGGAATGAGCGAAGTGTCCAACCCTTTCGACGTCTCTCTATATAATCAATACTCTTCAACACATCAGCTTTCATAAAAGCTTTAAAAAAAAAAAAATTCTTTGTTACTCTTCATTTTTCCGAAAAAAAAATAGCTAATAAAACTCAATTTTAGTGGAAATGAAGAAAGAAAATTGTTACACCATATTGTGCAAGAATTTTCTTCATTGAAGATTTATCAAAATTCGAACACAAACTGTTAACAAAAATTTTCATTTGAAATTTTGAATTAATAAATTTCACTAATTATATACTAACTTTTTGCTTCTGAATTAGTAAATTTTAGTAATGAATAGAAATTTCTATTAATTTATTAGTAAGATTTACTAATTTAACTAACTTTTTGCATTTGAACTAGTAAATTTTACTAATCTTTTTTTTCTGAATGCGTAAATTTTATTAATAAATAATAATTCCTACTAATTTATTAGTAAAACTTACTAATTAAACTAACTTTTTGCATTTGAATTAATAAATTTTACTAATAAATAATAATTTATTAATTTTAACTAATATAATTTTTTGATTCTGAATTTGTAAATTTTACTAATTAATAATAATTTCTATTAATTTATTTGTAAGATTTACTAATTAAACTAACTTTTTGCATTTAAATTAGTGAATATTACTAATAAATAATAATTTCTACTAATTTATTAGTAATATTTACTAATTAAACTAAATTTATGCTTCTAAAATAGTAATTTTTACTAATCTAACTTTTTGCTTTTGAATTAGTAAATTTTTTAATAAATAATAATTTCTACTAATTTATTAGTAAGATTGGGTTATCGGTAATATTTGATAATAATTAAACTAACTTTTTGCTTCTGCAATAGTAAACTTTACTAATTTAACTAATTTTTTGCTTTTGAATTAGTAAATTTTACTGATTAATCTAACTTTTTGCAATTGAATTAGTAAATTTTATCAATAATTAGACTGAATTTTTGCTTTTCAATTAATAAATTTAGCTAATAAATATTAATTTCTAATAATTTATTAATTCAATTAACTTTCTGCTTTTGAATTAGAAAATTGAACTAATATATTATTTGTATTTTTTTTCTATTTGATATTCTTTTTACTAATTTATTAGTAAGCTTCACTAATTAAACTAACTTTTTGCTTTCGAATTAGTACATTTTTAAAAAAAAATCGCAATTGCTATTAATTTATTTGAAAAATTTACTAATTAAGCTCACTTTTTGCTTTTAAATTAAAAAATTGGTCTAATATTTTTTCTACTTTATTTTTTTTATATTTTATATTCAATTTATTTTCTATTCTAAATAAATTTCTACTAATTTATTAGTATGTTTTACTAATTAAACAAACTTTTTGCTTTTAAATTAGTGAATTTTACTATTCTCTAAATTTGAATTAGTAAATAACTTTATTAACTTAAATTAGTGACTGACTCTTTGCTTTTAAATTAGTAAAAACAAAGAAATAGTCATTTCTACTAATTTATTAGTAAACTTTACAAATTAAACTCAATTTTTGCTTTTAAATTAGAAAATTGATCTCATATTTTTCAACTTTATTTTTTTATATTTTATATTCTATTTATTTTCTATTCTAAATCAATTTAGTACATTTTTCAAAAAAAAATAGCAATTGCTATTAATTTATTTGGAAAATTTACTAATTAAACTCACTTTTTGCTTTTAAATTAGAAAATTGATCTAATATTTTTTCAACTTTATTTTTTTATATTTTATATTCTATTTATTTTCTATTCTAAATCAATTTAGTACATTTTTCAAAAAAAAATAGCAATTGCTATTAATTTATTTGGAAAATTTACTAATTAAACTCACTTTTTGCTTTTAAATTAGAAAATTGATCTAATATTGTTTCAACTTTATTTTTTTATATTTTATATTCTATTTATTTTCTATTCTAAATAAATTTCTACTGATTTATTAGTAAAATTCACTCTTTCAAAAGCAGAAAGTCAGTTAATAAATCGAATTAGTAAACATTTTTACTAATTCAAATTTTGAGAGTACTTAAAACTAACCTTTTAGTTTTGAATTGGAAAATTTTACTAATAAATAGTAATATCTACTAATTTATTAGCAAAATTTACTAATTGAACTAATTTTTTACTGTTGAATTAGCAAATTTTAATAATTAAACTTGCCATTGAGTTTTGAATTAGTAAATTTTACTATTAAATAGTAATATCTACTAATTTTTTTTTATTAGTAAAATTCACAAAATAGACTAACTTTTTGTTTTCAAATTAGCAAATTTTACTAATAAATAATGATCTCTATACTAATTTATCAGTAAAATTGGGTTATCCGTAAAATTTACTATTTAAACTAACTTTTTGATTTTGAATTAGTAAATTTTACCAATAATTAATAATTTTATTAATTCATTAGTAAAATTTACTAATTCATTAGTAAATTTTACTAATTTAAAAGCAAAAATTCAATCACTAATTTAAATAAGTAAACTTTTCCACTAATTTAAATTTAGATAAGATAGTAAATGAAAATTTATTCCGCAATAAAAAAAAGATGGAAAATTATTTGTATTCAAGTTTTGTTTACATTTTAGAATCAGGAAGTTTTTCGATAAGATCTGTGGGAAAATAACTCGCGTACATAATATAAAATAGAGAAAAGACAATATATTTGGAAATATAGTAAAATTCCCGTAATTTCTTATAATCTTTCGATCTCGAAATAACTGTTTCACTCAAATATATATATACATAGTAAAAATAATTTCATTGACAAAAAATCGTCTCGCTTTCTTGATTATGTTAATGAGTTTTACCAAGCGCCTTTCCTGCATGCGCGTGCATTTAGGCTTATATTTCCCGTCTTTCGAATGCAATAATAACCTTCAATTGTGTATAGATGCACATCTTCCTTAGATATAAGTGGAGAAGGAAATACATTATAAGCATTTTCGAACACAGTTTACCCTGCGCTTGTGTTTGTGAATTTTATTTTTCAACTCTCTTTCTCTCTCTTCTTTTTTCTCTTTCTTTTTCTCTTCTTAGAGGCGATATTACCCTTCGACATGCAAATGCAATTTTTGAAGCATCCGCAACTTTGATATCGCTAACATTATAGTTACCTAACAGTTTTCTGTTGGTGAGCATTACGAAATATTGCAAAGAATAGATATAAGAATATATAGTTATTGTCATTACCGAGGGCAAATATACTTAAGAATTTCTTATTCGTTTTACTCAATCTTTTCTTTTTTTTACAGTACTTTTTCCTCTGAAAGAAAAAAGAAAGAAAGGGGAGGAAAAAGGAAAGAAATTTTTGCAAAAGTGAAGTTATTTGTTAATAAAGAATTGCCTGTGAACTCGGGCAAACTTCCAAGAGCGGAAAATTTTAATTTGTAGAATTTAAATTATATTTAACTTTCCACCCGTTACAGAAGAAGCCCTTTTTTCTCTCTTCTCTTTACGCTGTGAATTTAATTGTCGTTTTTACGTTCTAATTATATGATTAAAATTCACAAATGTGTGAATTTAATTAAAAAAAAGCGTTTTATATACCATTTTTTCTCTTTTTCCGTGTCGAGATTTAACTCTCGACAAGGCTCCTGGGGAGAGAGAGAGAGAGAGAAAATAAATATAAAAAAGTAGAGTAAAAAAAAGTAAGTAAAATAAAAAGAAATAAAGTTGAAAAATAACAAAATAAAAAGAAATTAAATTAAAAATAAAAAAAGGCTACCGGAGAGAGAGAGAGAGAGAGAGAGAGAGAGAGAGAGAGAGAGAGAGAGAGAGAGAGAGAGAGAGAGAGAGAGAGAGAGAGAGAATAAATATAAAAATGTAAAACAGTACAAAAAAGACAAAAAATAGGTAAAATAAAAAGAAATACAATGAAAAATGAAACAAGAATAAATAAAATGAAAAATAAAAAGAAATAAAATAAAAAATTGATGTAGAAATGAAAATAATAATTTAACAAATTTTGCAAAAAAAAAATAAGTACAATTTTCGCCCTACTCCAAACAATATGAAAAAATACAGAAAAAAAACTTGTTAAAAAATTAAATCATAATACTTCTGAATTAAAAATTCAATTTTCTTCCATCACCTCGCTCGATAAAGCAAAAAAAAAAAGAATTTAGATCGAATCTTCAAAGGGGTTTCAAACTTCATTGAATTTAAGAAAAAAGAAAAAAAATGAACATATTTTGAATTTAAATTAACTTACCTCGGAGAATACGATATAAAGTATATATTTTCTCGTGAAGTAATAATCCATACACACACACATATATATATAAGCATGGATAATAAGATTACGTTCATTAAAATACAATTATATTAAATGAGTTGCACCAAATTGTTAAGATGAGCATAATATAAGAGAAAAACATTTTTTTTTCTTCAATTTTTTCTTCTTTTTAATAATACATCAACTTTTGAATATAGTTTACGTCGGAAAAAAATGTTTAATAGATTCTATCACAATAATTAAAGGATGTTGAATATTTTTTATCCTCCGTTAAATAGCGTAAGTATCAAAGATGAAGTTGTACTGCGTACATATATGAAATTACCAACTTTTGCATCGATAAAGTTTATAAGAGAAGAAAAAAAAAGAAAATTAAAATCCATCAATAACCGCGCACATTGTCTTCTCATCTCGATTCTCAAGTTGAAAATTATTAAAGGCTAGCCAACGGTATTCAATTTCTGATTATATTGTGTGTAAAATTTTTTATTTTTAAAAGTAAACTTAAAATTTCTAAATAATTTCAATTCTTTACGGGAATTAAATTATTTTTATTAATAATAAAATTTTTAGCAGAAATTTAATTATTTTCAAAAGCTCTCATAAAATTCTGTATAAGAATTCAATTATTTTTAAAAATAATGCAATTCATTGCAGAAATTCAATTTTCAATAACATGTAAGGAAAATTCTCAAAACAATTCAATTATTTTCATAAATAATACAATTTTTTTGCGAGAATTCAATTATTTTTAATACAATTTCTCGAAAGAATTCAATTATTTTTAAACGTTTCAAAAAAAAATTTATCGAAAGAATACAATTCTTTTTATAAATTTAGAATTTATGATTTTTTTAGCGACATTCAATTATTTGAAATTTTTTTTTATAAATTTCTTGCATGATTTCAATTATTTTTATAAATAATAAAGTTTTTCTCAGAAATTCAATTATTTTCAAAAATTAAAAAAAAAATTTTGCAGGAAATCAATCTTTAATAAAATGTAAAACTAATTTTCCAAAACAATTCGATTATTTTTTCATAAATAATAAACTGTATTTACCAGAATTCAATTATTTTTAATTCAATTGTGATACAATTTCTCGAAAGAATTAATTTATTTTAAACGTTTCAAAAAAAAAACAAATTCCTCGAAATAATTCAATTCTTTTTATAAATTTAGAATTTATGATTTTTTTAGCGGAATATGATCTACAAGTTTTGAACGTTCAAATGAACGAAACACTTTTTATTAAAAATGTTTTTATAATTTATTGTTTGCAATAAAAATTAAAAACTTAAATTTTACACTTAGAAACTTTATAATTCATTTATTTTATATCGACAAAAAATTATTGTAATAAATATTTAAATTAAAGAAGAAAATAAATAAATTTCGTTCATTTGAACGTTCAGAACTTTAGGATCATAGCGGAATTCTAAATTTCTAAATTTCTAAATAATTTCAATTCTTAACAGGAATTCAATTATTTTTACAAATAATACAATTTTTCGCAGAAATTTAATTATTTTCAAAAATTTCTGATAAAATTCTTTATAAGAATTCAATTCTTTTTAAAAATAATGCAATTATTTGCAGAAATTCAATTTTCAATAACATGTAAGGAAAATTCTCCAAAACAATTCAATTATTTTCATAAATAATAAATTTTTTTGCGAGAATTCAATTATTTTTAAAACAATTTCTCGAAAGAATTCAATTTTTTTTAAACGTTTCAAAAAAAAAAAATTCACCGAAAGAATTCAATTCTTTTTACAAATTTAAGATTTATGATTTTTTTAGCGGAATTCAATTATTTGAAATTTTTTTTGTAAATTCCTTGCATGATTTCAATTAATTTCATAAATAATATAATTTTTCGCAGGAATTTAATTATTTTTAAAAATTATAAAAATTTTTTTGCAGGAATTCAATGTTTTAAAATGTAAAACTAATTCTCCAAAACAATTCGATTATTTTCATTAAATAATAAAATGTTTTTATAAGAATTCAATTATTTTCAATTGAATTTTAATTTTTAATGCAGTTTCTCGAAAGAATTGAATTATTTTTGAATGTTTCATGAAAATTCATCGAAAGAATTCAATTCTTTTTATAATATTGAGTTTATGATTTTTTAGCGGAATTCAATTATTTAAAATTTTTTTTGTAAATTCCTTGCATGATTTCAATTATTTTTATAAATAATAAAATTTTTCGCAGGAATTCAATTATTTTCAAAAATTATAAAAAATTTTTGCAGGAATTCAATGTTTAATAAAATGTAAAACTAATTCTCCAAAACAATTCGATTATTTTCATTAAATAATAAAATGTTTTTACGAGAATTCAATTTTAATTCAGTTTCTCCTTTCTCGAAAGAATTGAATTATTTTTAAATGTTTCATGAAAATTCATCGAAGGAATTTAATTAGTGTCAAATTAATCGGCGATTCTTGCAATTATTATTACAAGAATTTAATGATTTTCAAAACTTTAATTTTAAAATCCAAAACATTTAAAGAGACAGATACAACGATTATTAATGTAGATTATAAATAAACTAATAATTATTATTATTATAATTATAGTAATAATAATGTTGATAAATTTTTGTTAATTGATAATAATAATAATAATAATAGTTAGGTACTATTATGATAATTAATATTATGTTATATTAAAATTTTCTAAATTGTAACCAAAGAAATAACAATCTGCCGTGAATTTAAATTTCGTTTTCCAAAACCAGTTCAAAATAATTAAGTTCAATTTTATTACACCCACCATTATTGGATTGAAATTATCACCAAGAATTTATCTAACGCGTACAATAATTTGTTCCTCCACTTTAAAAATATACTTCGCATTTAATAAAATAATGGCTTCTGATTAAGAGAATTTCGTAACAGAAGCAGGTTTTTTGGTGTGCGCGTTTATTAAATCTTCGCGATAAGCTTTTTAGAGGACTAAAGAAAAAGATATATGTTTATTCCTTTCTTAAAAATTATTTAATCCGAAAAAAGATGTAGTGTTATAATTTTTCTTTTCATTTTTCATGAGACAGAGAGAAAGGGAGAGATAATTATATATTTAGAACAAGACTGGTCTCGTTGCATATAAATATATAAAACGGGTTATCGCATTTCTTTTCTGGTGCTTCATAACAAATTGTTTGTTTCCTTCTTATTCATCCTCTTTTTCTTTTTTTTGCTCTTCTCTCTGAAATCGGTCATTATATCATACTACAATACAATACCAACTGTATTGTGTTTCCTATGGTAAACAAAATTTAAGCCAGGAGAAAGGGATCATATTTTATGCTGGGCATATTCTCTTTCTCTCTTTTTCTTTCGTCTTAGTCTTGAAAGCCTAATCGTAGAAAATTTCACAAAGTTTAGTTTATGCCTTTGCAAATAGCATTGTAGGGCTCGAACCAGTGAAAGTATTTAAAAATACGAACTTTACGGACCAAAAATGAAAAATTAGGGACTAATTACAAACTAAAATGTAACTAGTCCGAGTCAAATAAAAGAACAATTTAATTAAAACTATAAATTAAATTTTTTCATAACTATAAAACACGAAGAAATCGAGTCAAAGACTCGGAGTGATCGATTTCTTCGTGTTTTATAATAATTAAAGATGACTCAGTGATAAAATCATTATTTTATATAAAAATATTGTATTTCTTCAAAATTATTTTCATCATTTTAATTCAAAAACTATTTTTAAGAATTTTTTACTAAAATTCTTCTTTAAATCAATTATTTTTAATAATTTTCGAAAAACTTCTTTGACAATTATCAAATCCATTTATTTACATTATTCAATTTTACAAAATTTCAAATATTCGTAAATTCTTCAATTAAATATATATTAGAAAATAAATACTTTAAATAATTTCAAAAAAAACTGCAATTAAACTTTTTCATGAAAATTAATTTCAAAATTCAAAATTATTTCTAAAAATTCACGCTATATTGCTTTTAATATTTAATTATTGTCTACAATTTTAACTGAAATTCATTTTTAAATCAATTTTTATTAGAAAATTCTACTAGAATTCAATTATTTAAATACATAAATAAATAATTTATCGAATAATTGAATGTTTCTTAAAATTGAATTCTCATAAAGAATGTTATCAGCAAATTTTTAAATAATTGAATTATTTTGACAAAATTTAGTAAAATTTTTAAGAATAATAATTTCTAAAAAGAATTTTATTATTTTTGAACATAATTAAATTTCTGTAAAGAATTTTATTTTTCTTGAAAATAATTGAATTTCTGCAAAAATTTGCAATTTCACCAAAATTAAATTTTTTTTAGTGTTTTTAACTAAAATTCTTCTATAAATCCATTTTTCTCTAATAATTTTTGAAAAAGTTCTTTAAGAATTTTCAAATTCATTTGTTTAAAATTCAATTTTACAAAATTTCGATTATTCGAAAATTCTTCAATTAAATTTATATGAGAAAATAAAAACTTCAAAAAAATAATTTCAAGTAAGTTTGAAATAAAATTTTTTAAAAAAATTAATTCTTCTACAGAATTGTTAATTAAAACTTAAAAATATGAAAAATTAAAATTTTCAAAGATTTTGATATGAAACCCTTTTAAAATTCAATTTTAATCTAAAATTTTAAGTGAAATTCATTCTTAAATCAATTTTTATTAGAAAATTCTACTATTCAATTATTTAAATAAAAAAATTATTTATTAAATAATTGAATTCTCATAAAGAATTTTATCAATAAATTTTCAAAGATTTTAATATGAAACCTTTTTAAAATTCAATTATTTCTGAAAATTCAAGCATTTAATATTCAATTATAATCTAAAATTTTAAGTGAAATTCATTTTTTAATAAATTTTTATTAGAAAATTCAACTAAAATTTAATTACTTAAATACAAAAATAAATAATTTATTGAATAATTGAATGTTTCTTAAAATTCAATTCTCATAAAGAATTTTATAAACAAATTTTCAAATAATTGAATTCTTTCGACGAATTTTAATAAAAGTTTTAAGAATCATTACACTTTTCAAGGAATTCCATTAAAATTGTACTAATTAAAAATAATTGAAATTTAGCATTGAGTTTTATTATTTATAAAAATAATTGAATTATATTTAGAAGAAATTTATAAACAATTTGTTTATAATTGAATTCCTGTCAAATTTTTATTATTTTATAAAAATAATTAAAGGTTTTCGTAGAATTTTATTAAATTTTTTTTCAATACTTGAATTCTTTTGGAAAATATGATTAAAATAGTAGATACATTGAAAATCATTAAATTGATGAAAATTTTTGAAAATAATTGAAATTTTGTCAAGAATTTTATTAAAATTTTTGAAAATAATTGAATTTCGGAGAAAAATGTTATTAT